GTAGTTCCTTGTATACACTGATGATAAAAGTAGTGTTTCATTAATCCTATAAACACTCTAAATTAGATGCTACCTGCATTTTGAGAAAGTGAAAATAATAGAGAAATCCATCATCAAAATCTCAGTTACAAAACATTAAAAGATCACAGAATTGATAAACTGGTTTTCTTCTTTCAGACAAATACGGAGCCATTATGTCTGTTCATGGGCTCCTGGTTCTTTCAGTAGTAAAATGATGCTAGTTAAAAACAAAGTCATACAGCACAGAAAAAAGAGAATGAAGACTTATGACCTACCAAGATAGCTTCCAGGAACACCACCGTATCTTGACTCTCAAATTTCTTGTTGTTCGTAAACCAGTGAATGAGTTGCATGACTAAAGGCTCATACAACTGTCTTGTTACCTGAAAAGAGTAAAAGCCAACTACATTTCTAGGGTTAATATATTTCTGTGTTATTTTACTATTCAAAATATGTAAGAATAAAAAAAAAAAAATACTACTTTGAAAATGGGTCTATAAAATGAATAATCAGCTTCATATCACATTCCCATATCAAAGATTAAAAAAAAAAAAAAAGAAAAAAAAAAATCTGGTTAGCTACTTTCTATTCAACTAGTCTCAAAAGATTTCCAAGCTTAATTTCAGTAAGATCCTCTGAAACAGACAAAAACCATTGCGTGCCAGGGACCGATACGCCAATATACAGCCAGGGAAACAGGCAAGTTTGGTTTTAAACTTTTTTGATCTAAAATATCTCTTAATCTTTATCATATACATTATTCTAACTTGCTGGATTTTGACAATTCTACCCGTAAGTCAACCTGATCAAACACTGTCATACTATAACATGAAGGAAAGAACCATTAAACATACTTGCTTACATACATACATGCTTATAATACAGTGTGTATGCCTGTATGCTTTGGTTTGGACCAATCCACACATTATTTACCTATGGTTTATGTTTAGCCATATGCCAGCAAAAAGGGTTTCACCTAAACTGATAACATAGCTTCCCATATATTTTAACAGAACACAAATCCCTTAGGTCTAAAAATAGAATCTAAATGCGAGGGTCCAAAGAGCAGTCTGAAAAGGCACAAGACCTGTAATTTCAGTGGAGCTGAACCTATGTGTCTATTCTGGTTTGCATAAAGGAGTAGAAATACCAAGTTCAGATGTCTGAATTAAATAGATCATCCTTAGCTATTAACGAGGCAGCTGCAAATTCTCTCCCAAATGCTTTTCTGGTGGATGGTAGCTTTGCACTCATCCAATATTGAAATAATCAACTTCACCTCAAATTAACTTATTCCAGAATAAGAAAAATGTGGAAATTGAATACAGCAATAAAGAGCAGCTAGTACCACAAACTCTTTGAATGAAGCTTAAAACTTGAATCTTGAAACCCTCATGTATCTGTACACTCTGAGTTACTCTGAATTATACTCCATTATTGAAGTCTTTGAAAAGGCTTCCAACCCCACCTCCCCTGCCCCCCAAAATCCTGAAAAAACTATCCCTAAAATAGAATGTCAGCTTACAACATACATTCATTTGGGGGAAAAAAAAAAAGGCAATTTGAATGTGTTAGGATAGCTTCTAACAGGATAGCTTCTAAATAAAATTATAAATTAATTCCCACATTTAGAGGTATTTTAAACAAGATAAAATGCTTATAAATGAATCTGTTTACCTGGTCTACATCACAAGCAAGACGAAGCAGTACTGGAAATATTCGCTTATGCAACTGATACATGGGTGGGGGACCCTGACATCCTTCTGGCATCTGAGATGCTTTCCCCAACATATACGTGACTATGCTATGTAGCAGTTCACATGCTGCAATCTGAAATGTAAAAATCCCTTTGGTTATGCATCCATTACTTTCACAGAGAAGACAAAATTGTGGGCAGGAGAGAATGAGTCAAAAGAAAGGGTGTACTTGAGAAATCATTCTAATCTATGCTAAATCACCATTCCAGGAACAGATCATGTCCATGGAAATAATTTACACACACTCTAACTGGCCTTTCTCCTAATGTTTTAGTCTCTGTCACGAGCAGTCACTTTTCAGCTGGAGGAAATTCATCACTCCATAAGTCACCCACCATCGTGCGTTCAAGGATACCTCCGTTCCGGACTCTCTTTTGATATCAACATCTCAATCGAGCAAAGCAGCAAAATATTTGCTTAAATGCTCTGCTAGACTGGGCCCACAAGCTTATAGTCTAGACATGAGAGAAGGCCAAACAACACTTAAGATCAACTAGTTTAGTCTGACTCTCAAAGCACAATGATGTCTGATAGACCTTAGAGCAACTTCTGCTCTTTAGTTTTTAAACATTCAGAATAATGTCATCGGGAAAGAGCACCAAAGCAGCACAATGCTACCTATGAATTAATTAAAACAGGTCAAGGAAGACATTATTTTATGCAGTATTGATCAGCTAGCATAAAAAAAAAGTTGCAGGAAAAAAAAAAAAAAAATCAATACTTTTGTTTGTCTGTCACTTGCAGAAAGAGCCAGTTCAGTCACACGAGGCAAGAATAAATCCAAGTAGATGACAGGCTTCATATCTGCAAATGGTACAGCAAAGCTCAGACGCTTCTCAGTGTCCCAGGATACACATTTCTTCATCTTCTCTTCTGCAGAGGTAGCTAATGCATTTGAAAACATCAAAACAAAAAAATAATCTTTATATAATATACACAGAACAAGTATTTCTGTAGCTCAGTCAAAAAAATCTGTAACTTTCCAACTTCAGTTAGATTGTCATAAAATGTTAATGCTTTATAAATTACTGGATGTTGCAAGCACCAGAAGTATGTTAGAAGGCTGGTTTTACTTGCACATCTAAAAAGATGTTTAGCCACCACATGGAAGGAGTAACTGCAGCCAACATTTCAGGAGACACATGCAGCAGCCTCCAGGTTCAATACAGGTAAGTTTGGAGACAATTATAAACCCAAAAGACATTGAATCACACTTAAGATGTCCAATATACTACTTTTGTCTTCTACTGTTACAAACAGACAGGAAGATCCAACATACAGACTCCTGCAGATGCACATGAAACAACTACATTTATGGCTACGCCCTCCCAGAAACACTGCCATACTTACTCCCTTCTCTCCCTATATTCCCATTATTTGTTAATTTGGTTAACAAAGTCTGATTACACTTTGCATTTCATTTCCAGGGAATAATGCTACTTTCCCCACAGTATTTGAACAAGCAACAGAGAAGTACTTGGCAGAAAGAAAATTGATTGTAAAGGCAGAAAAAATAAATGCGAGCACTAAAAGAAAGGAACAGAACTTCTATACAACTAGATTAGTTTTTAGACCAACTAAATTTTGCACTGAATTTATCCCTTAAAGCTCATGGTCAGGTACTTTACTATACTTTTCCACTTTTGTTTTAATTAGATTTTTATTATAAAGCTTATGCACAGACTGAACAGAGAAGAGCAGAAAGCTTTTCTTCTTTTTTGAGGAGGCACTCAAATGGAGCTCTATTACCTGGACATACTAAAGGCATTGCTGCACCTTAAACTCCTAAGTAAAGAAGTAAGCTTGCCAAGACTTACACAATTCACAAGCTACAGTTCTGCAAAACTGGATCAGGCAAGAATTGCAGCAAAAAGGTGGAAACAAGTACAGAGGAGTTACAAACTCGGGCAAAGTTTTAAAATGGCTTTGCAGACAGAGGGCAAAGGGGGGGAATAAATAAAACCATATACTCAGATGCATATAATTTTTTGCCTTTAACTGAAGTTTTCAACACACTTCCTGCATTCCATAGTAAGTTAGTGAATACTTCGCTCTCCTAAACTCCAGAACTGAATAAATGCAATTTTTTTTAGACAAGAGCAACAAAAAATAGCTTTCCTTGAAAAGCTCATGTATTATAATAAAGTGATGTTGAGATCTCACCGAAATCAACTTTCAAGAGAGACAGCACAGGCATATAAGTATTTTTATTTACACCAACAGGACACTCACCTGTAATTAAGTTGTGGCTGATCTGTCCTCCCAAAGATCCAAGCAGGCGTGCCACTCTAGTCCTCACTGCTTCCAAGGAGGGACTGTCATCCTAAATAATTCAACATATTTATATTAGTGAAGGAATAATTACTTCTATATGTAAGTAATTTGGTTTACATAGTAAATGAAGGGTTTACGGCTCTTATTAACATATGGATGAAGAAGACAAAATGAAGAACCTGTGGGGAGAAGAACTGCATCAAACAAGAGAACGGTTTTGGTTAAATAAGCACAAGAAGGCAAGACTGGGAAGCATTTTCATCACATTTTGTGGGCTTAAGATCGCCACTTCCCAAGTAAAGGTTATGTCCTGGTTTTGGCTGGGATGAAGTTAGTTTTCCTCCTAGCAGCTGGCATAGTGCTGTGTTTTGGATTCAGCATGAGAAGAATGTTGATAACTCACTGATGGTTTAGTTGGTTCTAAGCAGGGCTTACACCAGTCAAGGACTTTTCAGCTTCCCCTGCTCTGCCAGGTGCACAAGAAGCTGGGAGGGGGCACAGCCAGGACAGCTGCCCCCAACTGGCCAAAGGGCTATCCCAGACCATATGACAGCATGCTCAGTATATAAGCTGGGGGGAGTTGGCCGAGGGTCAGCGACCGCTGCTCAGGGACTGGCTGAGCATCAGTCACCAGGTGGTGAGCAGCTGGGTTGTACATCACTTGGTTTGTATATTCATTTATTGTTATTGTTACTATTATTTTCTCTTCCTCTGCTGTGCTATTAAACTGTCTTTATGTCAATCCATAGGTTTTACTTTTTTTTTCCCCCCCTCCCAATTCTCTCCCTCATCCTACTGGGAGCAGGGGAAGAGTGAGCAAGCAGCTGCTTGGTGCCTAGTTGCCATCTGGGGTTAAACCATGACAGGTTAAAATTTTATCATCACAGATAACACATACCTGCAGAACAATGTAATAGTCTAAAAAGTGGAAAGAAATCTGAAGAAAAAATTACTCTTTTAATTTGCTTTAATCCCAGAACTTAAAGTTTAGATCCTGTATCTTTTTGTGAGCAGCAAACCACTAGGTTGGAAAGAGTTCTATATATACAAATAACTATTAGTTTCACACCTAAAAAAAGGTTTATTCCAAGCTAGTTTGCACACTGGAATTTACAAATAAAACTTTGCTTATTTTGTGCTACTTGAGAAGTCACTGGTTAAAATGATAGTATGTTTGACTTCTAAGACTAAGCCTATCCGCAAGTAACATGTTCACAAAATGGTATTTGCATTGCACCACTGCTAAGCTGGGACCTGATTTTAGGTGTAGGAGTTTTTGTTTATAATATTTTTGGTTATATATTTGTTGACTAATGTATCAGTCTAGTCAGTGACACTAACTTACAAGATTTCTTCAGTTCCCTTTCCCTGCTTCATTCCCACTCTCACCCTAAAATATGACACCTTTCCAGCTGTGCTGATGTAACAGCTTTTTGAACCGTGTTGTAGAACAGGACTCCTTGAACTGATTTAAGGTAGAAACAACCTTCAGGAAAAAAGTATATATGCAAGAAAGGAAGAGAAACAGAGGGAAGTGATTAACTCACATATAACTCTACAAAGAAACACTGTTCTTACCAGTGAAGAAGTCTTTGCTTTTCTTAAACGCTGTATCACAACTTTATTAAATCCCTTCTGGGCTGCTTGAGAAAGCTTCCTTACTTCCCAGTTATTCTGGGATTCAGCTGATGAATGAAAAAACAGCATTATTAATATTAGTTTATTGTAGCTGCACCTACTAGTAGTTTCTTTAAAAAAAACCAAACAAACCAACCACACCCTGGTTTTGCCCCATTTTTATTTTTAAGATGTGATAACTACTCTTTCATTTTAAATATTTATTAAGGAACGTAAGTCTCTAGTAGTGAAAACTAAGCTGATTTAAGGATACAAAGGACAAATCACAGAGAAGTGGCATATAAAATGGCTACAATTAATAATTGTTTGGCAGTTGCAAATAAATCCTAGTTTCAGAAAAAGGTAAATTTTGGAGTGTAAGGTGTAAGAGAAAATATATTGTTCCAATCACAAGAAATGCACAATATAGACAAAGAATATGTCACATTCATATCTCTAGAGGTAACTATGCACAAACCATTTTCCTCTCCCTCAAAACTAAAAATTCATTGCCTGTATGTACCTGTAGAAGTAGAGTTTTTCAAATAACCATCAAGAAGAGGCAGAACATCCTTGTAGTAAGGTTGCATTATATGTCTGGGGATGCGAGCTGACCAGTCTTCCAAAGCATCCAGTCCCAGATCAGCCATTGGGGTACAGCTAAGGCCCAGCTTAAATGCATTCTATGTGTCAAATGTAAAACTATCAGTCTTTTATTTTTCTTGACTACTATTATTTAAAGCTAAAAAAACATGTTTGAAAGCATTTAGCATACAATACATCTTCCTTAATAACTTTTGCTTAACTTCTCACCCAACATCCACACAGGAGATATATATTATATTGAAACACAGACTCTAACAGAGTCAGCTTAGTGCAAAAGCAAATTCTGACAATTTACTTGTTTATCCAAAAAGTCAAGTATTCTATCTCACTGAAGACAGTACAAAACTTAACTTACTCAGCAGGATAATAACTTTGCTCCAGAATTTTTGTAGGTGTTTTAGAAAAAAAATAAGTGTTAACAGTGTATGACTGTGACCCACCTGCAGTGCAGGAATATATGCTGCGATATCAAGCATGACGATATCATGTGGTAAAGAGAGCAAAAAATTAAGACAGGATGCCAACAACTCATCTTTATAATGTTTCATTTTTGCTGTAACCTAAAATTCAGACAAATAGGTCAAGAACAAACATAATCCTCAGAAGATCTTGATTTAGGTATATCAATACCCAGGTAAAATGCACAACTCAAAACCAACACTGGAATCTCATTCACCTGCAGATGGTTACCAGGAAGCGTTTAATGCACAATTATACAGTTATTTCTCAATTGTACATCAGTAAGTGGCCAACATGCCTCTTCCGACATTAAGTAAAACACAGACAGAAAAAACCCCACTACGCTGCATAATTCAAACAGCTAATACTTCTATCATGTATGTAAGATTTCTCAGAAGATGTAATTTTGATTGAGTCGTTTATGTGTACATTCAGACTAAGAAAGTAAGAAAGTTAGCCAGCAAAATAACTTACCTCTTTTCCAAACTTTACAAACAGTGCAAAGCAGGACCTCTTTTCTGGGTCTTCAGGACATTTTCTGAGACACTCTGGGCTGACACCCTATCAAGCAGAAACCACAAGTCAACAGTATTAAAAAATGTAGTACACAGTACAAATATGAAGCACAAGTTGAACTAAAATTAAATACATCACTGTCCAATATGAAATCAGCATCAGTGAAAACTTGAAATGTACACTTGTTCTCTGAATGCTTAGAAACTAAGCACTATTACCATGCACTGAGAGCCAACTTTTTGGAATACACTTAATATTACTCAAAATAAGCAAGAAGGACTTAATTAATGGCTTAATCTTCTCCTTGCCCTCCCATCTAACAAACCATAAAAGAAAAAAAAAAATCCCTACTAGTGGATGCCCAAGTGGTAAGAATGCAGGTGGAATAAGAAAACAGTAATTCACAACATCATCTACAGCACAAGCATCTATGCCAATGAGTTCCCAAATTTGCTTCACTTGGTGCCATCCCGAGCAGTGGCAGGGACAGTTCTGGGCTCTGTGGTGGGCTACACACGCAATGGCATGATGCACCATCACTTTACAATAGCTTCCATCATATTTCTTGTGGAAATCAGTGAGTGGAATACAAGTATACCCCAGAAGTTGAGTAATTAACCCATACGTGTGTCTGCTGTTCTGGCTAGATTGTTTCTGATCTCCAAGCTAACTTCTGTATCATCTGCACAGCAAGGGTATTTCCCACCCCTCTGTTCACCCAGCTCAGGATTTTTGAAAGAGCATTACACATGGGTGGTGTCTCTTCAGAAATTGGGCTTCTAGCCTAAATTTTTACTTTCTATGCGCTTGTAACTACGGAGTCACAGGATGCTATAAATATTTGAAACAACTGGGTAACAGTTTCAATGAACTATTTTCCATAGCACATAAACAACTATATATAAAGGACTGCACCATCATTAATACAACATATTACCCCTCCGTTGGGAAAAGAGATCTCACCTCAAAGTATTTTATTTTCTTGGCAATTTTCATTGCAACAGAAAGCAACTTGTAGAATCCACTAATGAGAGGTAGTCTTGTTGAATGTATAATAAGCTCATAACCAAAGGAATATACCCAAGGGTTAAAGTATTCAACATGCTTCTCTGGAAGTATCTCTCTAAAACAGATGCACAGAAAACACACGGGGAGGAAAAAAAAAAAAAGAAGCAGCTGAATAAAATATCTGGGTGGGGTGGTTTTGGGTTTTTTTTGTTTGTTTTTTTTTTTTTTTTCCAAACTTTCAAGTCAGTACAAGAAAGAACTATTGCTATAACAGAGCAGCTCCAAAGACAATGAGGGAATGACTGGTTTTGGGGTTTTTTTGTTTGTTTTTTTTTTTCTTCTCCAAACTTTCAAGTCAGTACAACTATTGCTATAACAGAGCAACTCCAAAGACAATGAGGGAATAATTACATGCTGCCTTCCGAGGCAAGCATAGGAAGATTTTTGTTTTGCTTTACAGGGCAAAGCCATTTTTTCCTCATTACCTCTCATTATTAAATTTACACAAACACACATACTCACATAGCACATTTCATTACTGAGACTGCAGAACTGCTAGGGGAAATCAACTGGACTTTCACAGGCAAACAATGCTGTACGTTTCACTTAATGCCCATACTACTGTATAAAGGCTGTATTTCTGGTCTCTGAAATATTTGGTATATATGGTCAGTATAATACTAAAAGTTACAACATATACCGAAAGACACTCAAATAATGAAAGTGAATTGTCTCCAGTACTCCTTAAAAAAAACTGAGCTGATGTGCTAGGATGTTTTTACCTATGACCCAGATGCCTGAAACATTTACTGTCTCCCTGCTAATCAGCTTGTGCATTTTGAAATATGGTATATTGTCGTAAGTCAGAAACAGCACCTTAAATAAACCTCACGTCAAATTTCTTCCAACCACTTTGTAACTTCCAAACTACATAAAACCTATCAATACCTGCAGAATTCCACTAGATTTATAAAGGCAATAAAGTCTGTTGGCTTTGTTGGCTGAAGGTTTGAAGCAGGGTCAGAAGTAGGCCCAATCAAGGCACCATCAGTTTCATTTTCATCCTGAAAATAAATATTGAAGCAATATGGTGACAACACAGAAAGCATTTACACTTTTTTCCCCAGTTAAACTGTCTACTCCTCTTTTTCTAGCTGCTACAAGCTAGTCTGACACAGAAAAATGACTAATAATTGACACATCAATAATTCAAAGAAATAATACGGGGTTACTTGCTCATAAGGAAAAAGCAAGTAGAAAAATGAAAAACACTAGATGCCCGAGTAGGCATCACAGATTCTGTGAACTACCTCCGATACTCCCATCTCCTAACATTGCAATGCAATATCCAGAAATATTCTGACTAGCATGAACATTACTTCAAGTACACTATGAGAAGGTACATAAGCATAATGAAAACAAAACAGGGAATGTGATTTTGATTCCCCTACAACAGCAGAAATTAATGGACAAGTCATCAGGTCTCACCTGTTCATTAACATCCAATTTCTGAACAGTCAGGTCCAACTTCTCAATAATCTTCAAAATAGATTTTATAAGTTCATCATATAGCAAGCGATTCAGGGACTGCAGTGGTGAATTTGCAGTAAGAAAGTTTTCATCTTCAAAACAGCATTCCTTTGTAGGAGGAAAAAGTTCACATTTCAAAACACCAGTGAGAATTATTTCTTGAATTTACAAACCAATATTTTAACGATGCAGAGAATTTGGCTTTAGACATTCCTCAGCTATGCAAGCCTAAACTCACCCACTTAATTCACTTATCAGCCACAAAATGCAACTAAATCCAGGAAACAGTTCTTCTACACCATGACATTTGGAAAAAGTCTAGGGTTAGAAAAGCAGTGATAAGACTGAGGATTACTTTTCCTTTTTTATTTCCATGTTAACTATGCTTTTACCTTCATTGTGTCACAGTTCAGTAGACTTCTAAAGAGATACAGATAATCCTTATACGTTGGTACTTTTGATCTCCCTGTCCCAAGCTCTCCAACTTCACCTGAGTCTTCAGATCCAGAAGTTTCTTTTCCAAAAAAATCCTGAAAGGACACACGATTTTTTTTGGAAACACTGCATATTTAACTACATGACTCAAGCTAAAACACAATGTAAAATTACTTCCTGTCCTGGTTTCAGCTGGGATAGAGTTAATTTTCTTCATAGTAGCTAGCACAGTGCTGTGTTTTGGATTTAGTACCAGAATAATGTTGATAACACACTGATGTTTTCAGTTGTTGCCAAGCAGTGCTCAGACTACTCAAGGACTTTTTGAGCTTCTCCTGCTCGCCCAGGTGCATAACAAGCTGGGAGTACAGCACAGCTAGGACAGCTAACCCAAACTGTCCAAAGGGCTATTCCATACCATACATCGTCATGCTCGGGGGGGTTGTTTGGTCGGTCGGTCGCGGGCAGAGTGGTCACAGCTCGGGCTGTGTGATCGCGGCTCGGGGAGTCATTGCAGCTCGGGATGGGCTGGGCATCGGTCGGTGGGTGGTGAGCAATTGCATTGTGCATCACTTGTTTTATATATATTCTGTATATTCTCTTACCATTATTATTATTACTA